TCTTTAATTATAAAACAAACTTAGTTCCGCATAAATCTCAAATTTAGGGAAAAACTTCGGCAAGTTGGGACATTAAAATGGCATTCAACGCGACCCATAAAAGCTGGCAATTAAAATCTTATTTTCGCTTATTACATTTTCGCAGGTGTGTGCCACGCCTCCCCCATCCCTCGCTCGAATCTCGCCAATAAACACGTCTAAAAATTTTAGCCCAAGAATTTGTCGCCCGGCCATGGCCACCTGTTCTCCCCGGTGAAAAAATAAAGCAAAAATGTTTTTCCTTTGCTCTTTTTCCATTTTGGGTAATTGAATCATTTTAGCGCCATTTATTTTGTTCAGAATTGCAGAGATTTTTTTTGGTAATAGTATGGGGGGGGGGGGGCAGAGAGGTTGCTTTCAGTACGCGTGACATTTGTAAAACAATTTCTATTTCGCGCTGGCGGGGTGGTCGCGAGTGGGAGGAACATAAATAATAATGCGTTAAATTTATGCGTTGATTAATGTGGAGCAGTCAATCTCCACCAGCTTTGGGGGCAAAAGAGCATTGGATTTCACCACCCATTTGGCTGTGCTCTCAGGTGTGACCAATAGGGAGGAAAGAAGGAAGGAAGGAGGAACAAAATCTTCAGTTCATATGAATATTCGATTGGGCACTGAAAAGTATGCTATGATTTTTGACATTTTTCATAAAGTTTTTCAAAAAGCGAAGCCTTAAAGATTTATCACTAATAAAATAAAAATAAATGGGAAATATTTAGTTTAACTTTATGACTTTGAATTAATGTTTAACTAAAAATATTTGATTTTCAATAAATAATCTTTTACTAACTTTAAGCAAGCTTGACAAGGCTTCATTTACAAACTAAGTTAAAATCATTTGTGGTTACCCCATTAGAAACTTCCACTTGATTCATTTTCTCCACACACAAAGAGCTCTTAAACCCAAATCCCATTGAATTAATTGAATGAGATCCACACCCACCACGAGCAGCTCACTTTCCCCTTAGTGCCAAATACGTAGGCATTTAGCGGAACGTTTATTTCATTATTACGCCTAGGGTAACCCGTCGAGAAAGATCCCCGAAAACACAGGGAGTCGAATTGAAAAAGTCAAAAAGTTGTATTTTCCCCCCTCTCTCTACTAAAACAACCAGAGGGGGGTTGGCGTGTAGTGGTGGCCAGGCCAACCAAGCTAAAAATCATCGCAGGGGTGCGACATCGCATCATCGTCGAACTAAAAACCGTAACGGAAGCAGGCTCAACCGAGCAACAAGAAGGATTTCCGTCCTCTACCACCACCAACAAAAGGCCAACACTTGTGTCCTCCGCCCATAACAAAATCACCCCTCAAATCACATGCATAAGGTTTTTAAGTTTTGTGCTTTGTCATACAAGTGCGTGGAGGACGATCTGCAGATACAGTTGTAAAGATATGGTAACAGGCGCGTAATGCGACAGCCTTTAGCAGGATGGTTTCGGGACGTTTTGGGATGGTTAGGAAAGTGGCTTCCACGCCGGATTGTTGGATGGATGGATGGATGGATGGGTGGGTGGGTTGGTTTGTTGCTGACATAACGCTACACATGTTTGGGCGTTGCCAAACGGAATCGGTTGTGGGTTGCGGTATCCCAGGTTGGATGAAAAGACTAGCGAGGGTGGATTTAAAAGTATTTTGATGGGAATTTAATATGAAATATTTTACTTTTAATAAAAATTAAAGGTAAAAATATATTAATAAAAGGTATTTAAATTTTTTTTATATTTTATTTATATTATTATTATATCTACAGGGTGGCCCATGTAGCGTTTGCTTTTTGAACTATCATTAATTTTGACTTTGACATTTCGAATGTCATTGTCAATGTGTCAGATATTAAGTAGAAAGTTTGCTGTTTACTAAATAGAGAGTCTTCTTCTTCTTCAGTAACTCCTCTTCCCACCCACTCTGCCCAAAACTCCCCACACTTTCTGACAGACAACCTTCTGCCAGGGCAGCCCTTCCCCCAAATTACCTCACCTCCTTACCATATTATGTGCACCATTTCTGTTGACATAGCCGCCTTGTTTACACGAATTTTCCGCCAAACACCCATACCGTCGTATGTTTAGATATCATTTTGCGCGAACGAGAATGGGAAATGCGGATGAGGCACCGCCAACTAAATGCTGAGTAAATAGTTGCCGGGGTAATTGGAACAGAGCTACGTGGAACATTTATTTACCAACGGATATGATATTTGCACTCAGCTGGGTGAGAGGGACGGAAATCAAGGCAGCAGTTCATTGAGACCTTGAGAAGAAATTTAATTAAAGAACAGGTGACAATGCCAAGAAGGAGAGCCGGGGGGAGTGTGGGCAGTAGCATTGGGCATCATAAATCAAAGTTCCAAGTGGATTGGAAAGAGGGAGATTCAAGAGGTTGGGGGGTATGTAGGTGCCCAGCAACTGCTGCAAGTGTCAGCAACATGTGGCCAAAAGCAGAAAAAATCAAGAAAAATAAAATGAAAACAAGAGGAAACGCTATAGTCGAGTGCCGCGACTATAAGATACCCGTTACTGTTTTACACAATTTTGAAATATTAATTTTGCTAGTGGAAATTCACAAGGCGCCACCTATTGTCGGAGGAAGTATGTTGAGTATGCTTATAGTGACGTCACTGCCCATGTGGAGCCTTATAACCTTAATTTCTTCATAAATAGCGAAATAATGTTCCGATTTGAAAAATCTTTTGTAAATCGATAGATATTAGCAGAAATAAGTTACACAAGGTCAAACGAAGGCATTCATAATAATATTATAGACTCCACAGTTTTCCGCGGTTTGTGGGCGTTAGAGTGGGCGTGGCAAGATGCAACTTCGTGGCAAGTTGCAGAGGCATCTCCTCAATACGTGGTCCTAAGCAAAATTGTGTAGCTTTTATAGTTTTCGAGATTTTTGCATTTTTGGTTTTTCGGGTTTTGTGGGCGTTAGAGTGGGCGTGGCGTGATTGGAAAAAAACAATTCGCATTGGGAGCATCATAGAAACATACATGCTTGATCCGAACTTTCTATCTCTTATAGTTACCGGGATATCAGCTTTTCTAGAAAATCCGAAAACCGTCTTTTGAGCCTTGTGGGCGTATGGGTGGGTGTGGCCGGATAGTAGTAGCACTATAAGATGCGCTGTCATCTAAAGATTATACGTTCTGAATTTCAACTTTCTATCTACAATAGTTCCTGAGATTTCAGCAATTTTAGTTTTTTGCGATTTGTGGGCGTTAGAGTGGGCGTGGCAGGATGCTGTAATAAACTTGCGCTGTCCCGGGACCTCAAGAATCTTCATGCTTAATCTCAGATTTGTATCTGCTATAGTTCCTGAGATCTCAGCGTTCATACGGACGGACGGACGGACGGACGGACGGACGGACGGACGGACGGACGGACGGACGGACGGACGGACGGACGGACGGACGGACGGACGGACAGACGGACATGGCTCAATCGACTTCGCTATTGATCCTGATCAAGAATATATATACTTTATAGGGTCGCAAAAGCTTCCTTCTATCTGTTACATACTTTTCAACGAATCTAGTATACCCTTTTACTCTACGAGTAACGGGTATAAAAAAGAGGGAAAATAACACGAAAAAAAAGCAAAGCGCAGCAATCAAAAAATGTCGCTAACTTCTCTCCGTTCTTTTTTCACTTTTGACATGGTCAAGTTTAATTGAAAAAAAAAAAAAAACAACAAAATTTGCTATAAAAAGCAAAAGAAAGCAACTTTTAACCTCCGCAGCTGCTGCAGCCAAAGCTCATAATTAGAAAATCCAGCAGGAGAAGAAAGAGCAAGCGAATGAAATTAATTTATTCCTATTTTTTGTACACTTTTAATTGAAATTTTCTTCGTTTTTTTTGTTGTTTTCCACCTCCCTTTGGCCATTGCAGATAATTTTAATAACCGGAAGCTGGGAGATGGCCAAAGGATGCGCCGGTAATTGCTGGCCAAAGCGGATGATAAGCAAATGTGGAAAGCAGTGGCAAGGTAAACCCCCAGATTCTACTATTCCGACGAAAAAAAGGGTTACTTTTTCCGTGCCTTTTATTAACAAATTTCACTTTATTTACGCCGCACGTTATGCTATAATTAATAATCAGGCTGCATGGGCACTAAAAATACTGCAGGGAAGTTGATTAAATTCGATTCGGTTCATGGAGCATTTGCAGTGATATGAGAGCTGCTGCTGAAGCTGCCTTGGGTAAAATTTGACCTGAAAAGGGTTAATTCTGTGGCTGGCTTTTGAAGACATTTATGGGTGAGATTCCAAAATTAATTTGGGTGGAGATAAAATTTTTAAATATGAGCGGGAAATAAAAGCTAAAAAGTTGAATGTTAAATATCCTATGCAATCTCAGTGCTCTTTTTATAACAATTAATGAAAATTAAAATTTAATTTAAGTTATAAATTAATCAAATCGAATAGTTTTGTTTATCTTACGACCAAGGTAATCGATCCCTATTACATTGCAGCTGATTCGAAAAAGTTCGCTTAAGACGAAACTTTGAATGTGTTTATAAACTGCTATATATGGTACATCCTGTGTATATTTGAAACAAATAGTAAGCTTTTTCAATTTAAAAATTAAAAGCCAAACGAACAAAATTGGCCGTGTTGGAGACCATTTAGTTTAGTCTGATTAAGACTGTTTCGGCCAGAGCATTGCCTTATTTAGCGGTACCACCAACCCACCTAAATAAATGCCGGTAAGGTTTGTATCCCAGATAAAGCTGACAGCTATGGCAGCGTCATTACAACGTTGCTGCTGCTAGTTCAGAAAATTGTGGCGCCATCTGGAAATGCCTAAAAGGCAAATCAAATTTACAAATTTTGTAAAATTTTTTGTAAAAAGTCTTTAGATATTCTTGGTAAGTTTTCCTAGGTATCCCGAAAGTTACCTTAAATCTAGTGTTTCAGATTATGTTTACCACATCGCAAGACAGACATTGCTTTAAGCTGGATTTTGTTTTTCATGCCTAATAATTTATTATTGCAAATTTTCATAAAAATATTCTGGAACTTCAGACTGGAAATAAGAGATAATTAAAAATAATATTGCAAGTAGATTTTACTTTACGTTTTGCTAACAATCAGTTACTAATTATGTAAATCTTTTAATAATAGCTGACAAAGCATATTTTTGTGATATTTTTAGGAACCTGTTTTGTTTTCATATTTCTGCATTACTTCGCGTGCCAATTTCAGCTCCGCCAGCAGAGCCTCCATTTGTGGTCGATCCATGCTGAAGACATGAGTTGTATCCTTTGGCAAGCCATCGACCAATTCTTGCGAGATTTTTACTTCCAAGGTGGTAAAAGTTGAAGGCAGTCGTCCGGGTGTGGTTACTTTGCGAACGCTTTGCAGTTCGTTGACTAAAGTTGGTAAAATATAATATATTATTATAGCAATATGAGCCAAGTTAATACCCATTCCCTCATCCACTCACTTTTAAAAGCTTTGTTCTTCAGTGTTTGCTGTATGCCAGCGGAATGCTTTTGCAGAACCCTGCACATGGCTGCGGCATGATCCTTGGGCAGTCCCAATTGCTGGATCTCCTCACCAAAAATACTTTCCGTACAGCTATAGCGAGCTGCGCTGATTAACATAAAATCAATGCAGGCCACAGCAGTTTTGCCTTCATTGGTAAGCGAAGAGGTCAGCGCTTTTATTTTCGTTTCCTAACAAATAAATATATTAATAATAATTCTCGATTTAATAAATATATTTACAAACCTCTAAGCTCTGTCCACAAATACGCAAGGCCACTAGATCGCTGAGTTCTTCCAGGTTTTCGATGCTTAAGTTGGAGAGCGTGGATATGATCTCAGCCAGAACCCAGTCGGGGCAATCGCCTTCGCCACAGAAACGAAATTTCTATAAAGGACAAATAAATTTCGGTAATTATTAGGTAGAAGAAAATAATTTAAAGTTATACAACTTTCAGTTCTAGGCACACACGCCCACGGCCAAGTTAAGCCATCACGTTTCCTAGTAAATTAAAGACCAGAAGAGGAATCAAGTGAAGAGCTCTTAGAAAAAGTGAAAGCAAGTATAGTGGGAGTGGGAAATACCCTTTAAAAGGCGAACTCATATCATATTAGTTTTTGATATTTAAACTTTATAAAGAGTAAGAGCTACAAGGAGCTACTATAACTTTTTCATTCCTTTTAGAAGGGGAAAACTTTAAAGTTTCTTTTAAAAATAATATTAAAGCTTCTTAAGCTTAACTTAGCTAGCAAAAAGCACATATTACCTTCAAGCAGACCACTCTCTAGTCCAATTTGGGTCACCAAGGCTAGACACATGCGAGTGGCGACTTTCCCTTACCAACTAATGATACCCTTTAGGGATACATTAGATCCCAAGAACTCCCACAACTCCCACAGCTCCCACGACTCCCACGACAGCAACAAAGTCGCTTTGAGGAAAAGAAAAGTCAACGATATTTGCATATGATTAATTTCATACGCTTGCCTGCTAATCAGCGAGCAATTTGTTCAAGTGGCTAGCCCAGCGAAGGGGTTGCGGAAAAGTGGGCTGGATGGGGTGGGCGAGAAAGGTTTTTTGCATATAAAGATAGAGCGTTTGGGGAGCTCGCGTCTCAGTTTCAAGTGCACGTCACGTTTATCCCTGGGCAGGATTAATAAAGACGCGTTCGGAAGGGCAAAGTTAGAGTTAAGCGAGTGAAAATTTATGACACTTGTTGCCATTGTCTAGGGGGGTGGCGGGCGGCGGAAAAGTGTGTGTGAAAAACCGTTTGGGACGCTTATTAATACGCACTCGTATTTATTTAGCGACGTGTGTAACGGCTTAGAAAATGCGAACGACAAACGTTTTATAATTATTTTATGGTCTTCAAAGTTTTGTATGGAAGACGACGGCTGGTGGGTGGGTGGGACGGTAGGGGCCTTAAGGATCAAGCTGCTATATAAGCTGGTTAACACGGCGCCAAACATCGCAGTTGGCCGAGAGGATTAAGACGGCTTAAACCGCTGGTGAAGATGGTTAAGATAGTTCTGTGTTTCGTATTCCTGGCCTTTGGCCGTGAAATCTATGGTGCCAGTCTACCATCACCAATTTCTGGACAGGATTCAGAGCTGGGAACGTGTGAAGTGCAATTATCCAAATACCGAAGATTCATTTTACAGGCAATCTTAAGTTTCGAAGATGTCTGCGATGCCTATAACGCCAGGCCAGGTGGACAGGATGCGGATGGTGAGGGCTGGCTCTTTCGGCACTATGCACCACCGCCCACTTCTCAGCGCAGTGAGATCTGGGCCTTCTTCCGCCTGTTAATGGCCCAGTTTGGCGACGCGGAGTTCTCAGCGATAATCCGGGATGCGGTCATCGAAAGGTGTCGCATCAAGTCCCAGCTGCAGCGGGACGAGAAGCGTAACTCTGTGGTGCTGGGCAAGAAGCAGCGTTTCCACTCGTGGGGCGGCAAAAGGTCACCGGAGCCACCAATCCTGCCGGATTACTAAATCCCAGTCGGTTTCCAGCACTTTTTTCCCCTTCAAAAAGGTTTTTAAGCAGCCATAAAGTTGAAGTCCTCTAATTAATATCAGTGTCTAAATAAACCCGAAGATTGCAAACTGAGCAGCAGTTGAATTGGTGTTTTAATTGTTGGTATTTATAGATCACTTGCCATGGTAAATGTTTTACAATTTTTGGGAGTTTTTCTAAGCTAAAATTTAAGTTTTTTTTTTGTTTACAAAAACTCTAGAGTGACCAAAATGCAGTGCTGGTAAAATACATAACTGTGCTAGCAGTGGCCAGATTGATAGATTTTAAAGCAGTGTAAAACTAAGTTGTCAAGCAGTAAAACTAAGCAGTGAGTGACAATGGCGCCAAAAAAGTACAGATTTGAATTGGTTGCAAAGGAAAAAAGAATTTTTGAAATAATTTAAATTTATAATTTTTCAAATAGTTTTGATAGTTTTTGATTAAATATATAATTGTGACTTGTTTTTAACTTATCCATAAGTGGATCACAGAAATCCCTAAAAATATTTCACATTAAAAAAAATCAAAATTAAAATCTAAAAAAAATCTAAAGACTAAATTTTGTTCATTTCGTTATGAAAATAAAAACCAATAATAAAGAAAGCTTTAAAATTGCTGCATAATTTGTTTATGCCAACTTTCTGCCTGTCATTTTCGATTATCAAAACAAATTTTGTTTCCCTTATCAGGGGATCGAAAGTCTGAGCAACCCCACCGAAAAACACACCCCTTTGCACCCATTTAGCACCCACCTGCACAGCCCTATCGCCAAGTTTAAAATACTGCCAGTACCTACACTTTTTAGAGCAGCAGACAAGGCCTTCCAGTAAGCCGAGTCCAGCGGGTGTTATAATCCCAGCTTGGCATGGAGGTGGGCAGCAGCAGCACAACAAACCCATAAACCTTGTCTATAAATACAAACTAGGAGCAAAAGGAGGGTGTGTGTTTGTGCAGCAGCAGCAATAGCAGCCATAATTATAATTATCTCATCCGTCTCGGGGGCTCTGGGCCTTTTTTTGCCATAGCACTGGACACGCTGAAAACAAATGTTAACTAATCGCCTGGCCAGCCTGCCCAGAAATCTAAATTCGAAATCATTTAATTAAACTGATAGTGGTCCATCATACTTACTATATGTGCGACCGGGAATCCAAGCAACGTGAGCCGACTTTTTCCACCCTGTTTGACAGCGGCGCCAATACCAGACTTAAATCCCGCGATTAAGGGCCCTGGAAACCTGGGTTTTTGCTGGTCAAATGCGATTAGCGGCCCTGATTAGAGTGGGCGTGATCGATAGTCGGTTCAATAACAAAATCCGGAAGGCAAAGGTTTCCTCTAAAAATATACCTCTAAGTTACGGTAAGACCTTGTGGCAATCTATTTAAAGCCTTCGGATTGGTGATCTGCTAACCCCCCCACCCAAGCGGAACTAGGCCTGATCATTCAAGTGATCAGTGGATCAGCAGGTGTTACGGGTGTACAGGTGTAAACCATGTTTAAGTTAAGTCGCAATGTCTGAATGTTTTTTACTTAGAAATATAGCTTACTTTGACTCTTATCTGGCACAAATTTGAAAATTTTATATGCACTTTTATGGCGTAATAAATAAATATTTAAAATTCGAGAGATTTGGACCTCCTGCAAGGATGTTAGGGTATCTGAGAAAGCATTTTAACAGAAATAAAAAAATATAATCAATATGATTTCTAATTTGTGGTAATAATAAGAGCTGCCCTTCTACACCTTTCTTGGTTAAACTATATAAGATATTTATAAGATTTATCCTTCTTCTAACTTGTTTATTAAGAATAAATAAAGATTTTTTAAACTACTTTAAAGTAAGCAATTCTACCTCCCCAACCAAAGCAAACAAGTTCTCTCGAACCCAAGCCGGACTTTCCCCACTTATGTTAGTGCCTGTGTTTTCATATGCATTATTCATGTTCATAAAATTTATTAATTGACCTTACCCCTGGGCTCACACCTCTGCTCCTCCTTCCATTTGCAACATCTTCCACAAAAACGTTGAAGAAACTAGGCCATGTATATAGAGCTGATAACAGGCAATCATTGGGCTGATTAAACCTTGTCCGTAGCTTCTCGATGAGAACCAAACAAAAAGTTCGAAAGAACAAAATTTATAGAATTTAGTCATTGAACTTAACATTGAAGACGAGAGGAGAGAGAGTGCTGGATTTGTGTTTGCTATTTTAGTTGGTCGCACGACCGGCTAGCAACAACAATTTAATCTCCCCCCTGAAGGCAGCGACACAAAGCAAATTTTGTTCTTAATCAATGCTCGATTATAAAAGCTAATGGTGGCTACAAAAAGGTGGCTCTTGGAGGTAAATTTCAGGCAAATGAAAAAAGGTAAAAAACCATTAAATTAAGTTGCAGGCTCACTGGTTTTAATTTACGCCTACACCTAAAAATATTAAAGCCAAAAGTGGGAAAAAGTTTTTCGAAAATTTATTTTTAAATGCCTAAAAATTCTGCAAAAAAAAAATCTACAAAAATCAGAATTTGCTATTTACTTTAACTTATAAAAATCATTAACATTAAGTTAAGTTAATTTTTTTAATAAATATTTTCCTCAAGACCCTTAATTTATGTCAACAAAATTTTCAGACATTCTTTCTCATTAAAAATATTTATGTTTTCATTTTTTAACCACTTAAAAAGTTGATTAAAAAATCACATTTAACGATAATAGTTTTTTCCCTCTGTAGCCAGGTGTCGTTTCATTTTCCCAACAGCCTGTGTAGGCGTTGAAAAATATTCGCAACAAGCAGCCAAAGTAGAGGAAAATCAACTTAGTGGAAAGTTTATTTTTGGTTTGTTTTTGATTAATTTACAATCCGCTTGATTAGTGGGCGTTAACTGATCAGATAAGGTTCCCAACCATTATCGCAGGAAATATTTGCTACACATTCGTTGCACCTTTTGGCCAACTCTCTTATAATTTTCCTTTCCAGACAGCCAGCCATAAAAGTTTATGTTCTAAGCAGTCGGAAAGCAAACTGACCAATAGTAGGAATAAAAATAAGGATCCCCCTTGGAAAAATCCCTTTGATTGACATCAAATACTATAGAAAATGAGTGAAAAGGTTGTAAAAGTTCAATCGATAAACCCATTGAACTTTTCTGATCTTTATTTTGCGCATATGAAAACGCAGGTTGGGGTGGAAAATTTTCAGAGGCAATTTTCCTGTTGATTATTTTTATGTCTTATTTTTTTTTGCTGCTATTTTTTTACAATCGGGTTGGGTTCGCAGTAAGCCTGTTGTAATTTATATTTAAACATGAGTCTATATAATTATACAAATATATGTAAGGTATATTAATGATTATCTGTTTTAAATACTCTATGAAAAGGCATGAGTTTTTATTAAGAAATGTTGGTAAAATAAAGTAAGTAAAGTGGTTTTTAAGAGAAATTTAAGTTTAAAATGATCTGAAAGCAGGAATCAGGCTATCATTATCCTAAATTATATTTAATTTCTTTTACAAATCTTAGTTTTATCTCCTAAAAATCTTAAAAATAATCAAAAACCTTTTAAAGAAAAGTTAATCACACTTTCCCTTCCTTGATAATCCTTAGTATCATTACTTATTTTAATCTCACTTCTTTTGTTAAGGTATTTAAACAATCGCCATTGTCCAGTTAACCTTGCATTCCTACTTATTTCATTATGGTTTTTCATATAAACAGGCATTGATAAGCCAAAAGGTGACCCAGTTGAGACCTATGAGACTCGTTAAATATAACAAGTTAACACATATATTTTACTGACCAGTCTAGTAGAGAATATATCTTGAAAAAGAAACTAATAAAAATAAACATGAATATCCGTTGGCATGAGAAAAAACTTGAAACCAAACCAACAATGCAAGGAAAATAAACATTTTCTGGAGACTTTGGCAAAAAATACTTCTTCTAAGAAGTAGCCACACATTGAGTTCAATGACCAGCTAAACAAACTACTGAGCTAGACAAAAATATTTAATAATCAAACAAAGAGTTAGTTATTAGTCAAGTCTGCAGACTGACCTCGCCGAAAATGGAAGGTTAATTGTCAAATCAAAAATTGTGTGCCAAAATTGAAAATGCGCATTTCTTGGTTAAACGAAAAATTTCTCTGAAAACGATTCTGTCTGAGAAATTTTGTAGTCTGAACTGACTCATGCAACGGCCATGTAAAATTCAAACACGTCTACGCGTTTCTAGCTGTATCTACAGGCTGCTATAACTATATCTATATTTGTATCTGTATCTGTATCTGTATCTGCATCTGCATCTGCAGTACATGCCCATCTACAGATACATTTGTATCTGTGCAAGTGCAATGCTCGCGTTTAACATTGAATGCAATGTTTGAGCATATTTTTCAGCTTCATTTTTGTTGCCTCTCTCACTTTGATTTTAATGTCGCATAAACCGGAACTATTAATGAAGATTTTCCAGGGGGAAGTGGCGGTTGGGGGAAATTGATGTTCATAAAGATAGTTTATACAGTTACAGCAGGCTGTGATGAAAGGCGGAATTGCTGGCGTTGCGTTTTTTTATGTTGGCATTGCCAATTTTTTGTTTGTTTTTATATAGATGGGGCTAAGGGGGGCTAATGCTTAAATAGGAGCATAAAAAAGTACAACCAATAGAAAGTTTAAAAAAATGTATACTTAACAAACTTAGTTAAGTGCTTCTATATTTAACTTTTAAGAAGTACTTGATAATAAGAACCTAAGAGTACTTCCAGCAGCATCATCTTTTCAACATCACGTTGCACAAATATACTTCAACTTCAAATAAAAAACCAAAAATCTTTCAAAAGCATTTACTTAATATTTAAATAAACTAAAAATAAATTTCAATCACGCCACTTGTAGGTTTATTTTACTGTTTCATTAATTGCTTATCAGGTAGCAGCCCCAAACAAAATTCAATTCCAAAATTATGCAAAAATATTTTATCAGCCGACAGATACAATATTTGCAATTTGGAACCTGTCAGTTAGCTGTTATTTTTATTTTCTTTATTTGGCACAAATTTTGATTATATTAGGCAGCTGTTGTTATTTGTTATTTGCTTAATATCAAGATTTCAATGAAATTTCGAAGGTGAAGAAAGAAAGGTTAAGCGCCGAAGATGAGATGGCCAAAAGAAAGAAAATCCTACTTTTGGATTACAAAATCTACAAATTCCTT